AGAGCCTAGTTGATCAGGCTACTGGAATTGGAAAACTCTCAGAACTCTATAAAGGTATATCAGAGGTATCTCGTAAAAATTCTAGTAGCAGCTGTGAATAATGACAGTGCTAAGATGTGAGAGAGAGAGGAGAGAGGGATGGAAGAGAGGGAGAGGGGATAGACGGGGGGAGAGAGAGACGGGAGAGAGAGAGGGAGGGAGAGTGGAAAGAGAGGGAAAGGGAAATGGGAGGGAGAGGGGATAGAGAGAGAGGAGAGTATAGAGAGAGAGAGTATAGAGAGAGAGAGAGTATAGAGAGAGAGAGAGAGAGAGAAGAGAGAGAGAGAGAGAGAGTGGGGGGGGGAGGGGCTCGCACAATGGTGCGCTTGACTGAATTTCCCGGTTTGTGAATGGACTGGTTCGGCGCGTTCGATCACTCGCCTTGGCGCAGACCTCGGCTTGTTGTACTAAGCGCTAAACCCGTGTGGGGTCAGCTGGGGCAGCTGGTTCTGTATCTAGACAGGCTATTGGTATTTAACTGAGCTATAGGATAAGTAAATTCCTCCCCCCCCCTGCTGAGTGGGAGTTGCTCAAGTAACGAAGCTTAAGTCACAGGTCTGCCTGCGTGTCCTAGTCTCGTAACATTAAGTGATAATCGTGAACATTTGAACGTTTCCTGCTTATTCGCGGCCACCTTACTGCCAGGCATATCACGGCAAGCACCAGACGAGCCTGGCCCATGGCCGGGCTCAGAGAGTAGATTCTCGAAACTCTTAAGGTATATTGCGGGTATAAACAGGACTGATGAACTGCCTCCCAGCATACATAAGGGGGATTACCAGTAGACCCCTGGCTGTCTTCAAGAAGGAATTGTGATACTACCTGATCAGCCGGGCTGTGGTTCATACTTTGGTTTACGTGCAGCCAGCAGTGACAGCCTGGTTGATCAAGTCCTGATACATCACGAGGCCTGGTCACAGACTGGGCCGCGGGGGCGTTGTCCCCGGGAATACCCCCCAGGTATACTCCAAAATAAATTACTCTTTACACAAGCGACAGAAAATGACGTTGGAAACCTCATAAGAAAACTAATGTAATGTTAGAGGTATGTCCAGCGTTTTTACTCGTGCCAGGATCGAACCCAGGTGCCTCAGTTGTGAGTGAAAGGTGCTACCACATGAGCCACGAGCCACCTCTTGTCTCCTCAAGTAACAACACTTCCGGTTGCAACAATTCAAAATATACAAGTCTGAGATCAGAGCAGTAGATAGGCTTCAAACCTTATTAACCAAGCAGCCTTGCAACCCACCCTGAGACCAGGCTCCCTTGAGCCTACTCAACCAGCTTATTGCTTCAGACCAGCTGGCTACCTTTAATACTACAGTAATATTGGTAGAATTACCGACAATATTACGGCTTGACAAAGCTCCTGGAGAGCGAAACGTTGCCACAATAAAAATGTCGCCTGGAGAATACATAGTTTAACCCAAAGGAAAGGCAGCTGCAACTGCTTGCACGAATTCTTCAGAGGTAATACAGCAACCTCATTTGAAGGGTATGGCTGGCTAGCCACAACTGAGTTACGGTCACTGGCGGACCAGAGCCAGCTGCAGACTCACTTACATCCGGCAGGTGACAGCACCGTGTTCTAATATTACACAGTACTCTTAACATGATGGTAAGATTGTATTAATGTTGGTAGAATAACCGACAGTAAGTTAGGTGACATGTTATGTGACATGTTATTGTGGTAGGAGGCTAGTACAACCCTACTGCTGCTGCTCACCTCTCTGAGAGGGTTGTGCTCTAACTCTTGAGCCTGCCTTTGTATTTCCATGGAACGTAAGAATAGTGGATCTAAGTCTAACAGTGGTCAAGTAGACGGTATGTTAGCCAGGGAATACATAACTTTGAAATTCACACCGAGGCTGTCTGATGACACCAGCCAAATACTTCTACCTACACTAAAAATTATTCTGTATTATCTGGGTGTATGAGTCGAGGATAGGAAAGCAGGGTAGACACTGAAATCCCTCGGGGCACTGCCGGCTTAAAAACGATGTCAGGCACAGCCTGGTTGACCCAGCATACCACATGAGAACATTAGAGCACCGTAGTAACAGCATACAGCCCAGTCCTGGCAGCTCTTACTCTGTTAATACAATGGTAGACTATACCAACAGTATGTCAACAGAGACCATCTGATAATAAGTTAAGTGTAAACACTACATATTGATTGGTTTATATACACGTTTTACTCTTCCACTCGTTTATTTGTAGTTAAACCTCTACCATTGCTTAAATTATAGAAAACTAAACTCTGCTATTTGAAGTGCTAGCACACGAAGCACCACAGCCTGGTTGATCAGGGACTAACTTGAGACACTTGCCCAGTTCCTTCTTGAAGACAGTCAGGAGTCTGTATGAAGGAAGGACGTCGAAAAGTCTTGGTTCCTTCACATTTATTGAGTTTTTCCTCAGTGTACTCTCTTCACCTTTGCTCTTCATTGGGGGTATTTTGCACCGTCTACTAAGACACACTCAGGTGGAAAGATGATGTTTTCTTCGTCAGGAAACTGGTGTGGGTGCCAGATAATAACTCGGTGATTAACCAACTACTAATGCAGCGAAGACACCACCACTAATGTTAGATTAGGTACAGTTTGTCAGGAAACAGGACAAGGGTTTCCTGAACGCGGGTGTTAGTCATACGATGACTCCCACAGCTGGAGCTTTTGGTCATCTGACCGAAGCCTTCCGCTGATTTTCCCCTCCACCCCATTAAAAATTATACTTATGATTATAATCATATTTTTTTCGTCAGACACGAAGATTAATAATCGCTGAAGGACGCTATCAGAGTAAATTACACTAATCACTCTTATCACCCAGTAAAACATAATACAAAACGTGTATATTATTTCATATATTAATTACCTAATTGTGCATTTGCAATTGCAGAATCGTACGTATTTCATATTTGCCTTCTTGCATTAATTTGCAGGATGAACGTAGTTTAGAGATTTGCGTTTTTACAACTAGTTTAGACATCCTTGGCTAATGGGAATCAGCTTAAGTCCTCCATCCATCCATGATTGGGTGGGTTGCCGACATGCCCTAGTTGTTCGTGGGGTCATAGTCCAGATGCTCGCTGTATCACACTTGGGCTGTGTGTCCAGTCTGACACATGGGGGGGGAAGAGGTATCCCCCCACACACACACAAACACAAACACACACACACTCCGCTGGTGCTTTTATCACCTCTCTTGATCTATACAACTATGGTGGTAACAGTGGCAAACTATTTCGCGATGGCTGCCACTACTACCTTCGTCTTGCAACACGCTTAAAAACAGTGCTAGGAGAAGTTCAACACAAACGTAAACGGCACACTTACACAAGGTTTACTATATTGGCAACCCGAAATATTTCTAATTTTATATCTTTTATTTAGCCAGTGTCAACACCATAGTTTCGCTTGGCAGTATAAAATATTTGGAAACCTTGCTAAAAGCCATTTTAACACTTGACCTAGCTGCCAGGGTCTTTGTTTTCTCTAAGCTTTCCGTGGGGATGATGTCCCCTCCACCTATATTATACTACACACCTCCAACCTTCAAGGTGATACCAAAAAATATACCTAACATACACCCAGTGCTTGGGTATTGATGCTGGAGCGGTATACTCATGCTGGAGATACCCACCTCCCGTACACATACTCCATGTTTCATTGAGTATAGGGAGGAGTGGAGGGAGTCCGTGTGAATGGAGACACACCTGGTATTTCCTTCCTCTTGTTGGATTGTAGTCCCCGCCCCATGTCCGGGAGGATGCTGCCATTATCACCACCACTTCTCCCTGCACACTAGATTTATCTCCCTGTGTTTTACCTCTCGTGGTCGCATTGCCTGCATGCACTCCCGTTCGTAACAAACATGTTTGATACTAGGCAAGGTAAGCATGATTTAAAAGTGACTGTATTAGCAGATAGTTGAAAACTAGTGACAGCAGCCAACTCTGACCACAGATGCTGGATCAGTACTTACGTAATATTCAAATTTCCTGTCATTATATAGTTTCATGTACCTTGTCGGCCGCTGATTTTGGAATGTCACACCACCGCATTTTTTTATAATTAGAGCAAAGATATATGCTGACAAATTGATGAATGGAACTCGTATGAAACACTTGGGACTCTTCGATAGACGTTTCGCCATCCGGGAGAGGTTTTTTATTAAAATAATTGATGCTCTCTAACGGGCGAAACCTCTCTGATACCCAGGTGTTGCACATGTCCCATATTTAATGTTTATTTTCCCTAGTAACGACGAGCACTAGATTCGTGGAACCACCTCCCCTTCCTCACAACCTCCCATTCCCCCCACACAACACTTACCAGATTAATATATGCGCGCACAGCGCACTTTATGGACGCAGAGCACACACCCCTGTGCGCTAGCACACCACATCCTCCCGCCATGCGCTTGCATATCGCTCCCCTGGGAGCGATATGCTGTCCTGAGAGAGATGACAGTTCCCAAGTGATAGTAACTCCAGCTCTACTGGAATGTCTTCCAGCTCAGGCTGACAGATTTCACCATGTATGAATCCCATCCTTTGTGATGGAGTGTGTAACTGTTATATAGAACAGGGTAGCAGTATAGTTATGATGTATCCATTTTTAACGTCCATATGGATGTGTTTGTCTCTTCAGGTTAGTTTCATGGGTAGGTGCTCAAGCCAGTGTGATCGTACAACACCTTTCAAACACATTTTGAACGGATCTGAAGATTAACAGACATTAACATTATTTATTGTACTGTGGTATTATGTAATTGGTTAACTTGACTACGTTGTATATTTTTTCAAGGCAGGGTGACCTAAAAAGAAAAACGAAAGTTTTTATATTTAGTAATTTATACAGGAGAAGGGGGTTACTAGCCCCTTGCTCCCGGCATTTTAGTCGCCTCTTACAGCACGCATGACATTGTATATACTATAGTTTAATTTTTTTCCGCAGGTGCGCTGAGGGATTTATGGGACAGCGGTGTGAGTTTAAGGATCTGGATGGCTCTTACCTTCCAGCGAGGGAGAAAGTGTTGCTGGAGACAGCGTCTATCGCTGGTGGAGCCACTGTGGCTTGTGTCCTGGTCTTCGTTGTCCTCTTCGCCGTCTATGTCTTCATGCAGAAAGATAAAGATAAGCGGTGTAGGTAAGTCTTCCCTGGTGGTGCGTTTTTGTCACTGATACCCGCACACAGCAATCAATGAAGAGGGGCCAGAGCTATGACTCGACCCCTGCAACCACAAATAGGCGAGTGCAGGAGACTGAAGCTAATGATATTTCGGTCCTACTTAGATCACTAACTAGTCCCACAAGTGTGAAGGGAAGAGGCCCCTTCCCTTCACACTCGTGTGTGACTAGTTAATGATCCAGGTAAAACCGAAACATTGTCCTAAGTTTTATTCTCCTGTGTGTGGGAGGATTTGCATATTATTTCCGTCGGGGTATTTTGCCCTTTAATTCTTTGTCACTAGTCAGTTCCCTGGATCAAGAGCCTTTCACTAGCAATAAAGAGCTCCCTAGTGGGATGTTACTACACTGAGGTATCGTAGCTTTGTGTACGTGTTTGTCGTTGCATCAAATTTTGGTAATCGACTTTTAGAAAAAGTTTTTTCGTGTAATATTCATCAGGATTTCATTTGTAGTTGAATAGTACCTCACATTGTTTATTTTTAAAAATTTCTAAATTTTTAGGCAGTATTATTGTACAGGAAATATTTCTGAATACCACATGACCCATTGTTTAATATTTTTTATATACGTATCCAGATGAGCCTGGCCCATGGCTGGGCTCGGAGAGTAGAAAACCTCTGGAAACTTTTCAGAGGTGTATATCAAAAATAAAGGTACATCCTAATGTGTTATTTAAGAGATATAGCTTAGCCTTATGATATTAATCATTTGAAGTCATTGTTTATCTTCACTGCTGTTAATGTTTTAAGCACTCTGTTCTCTTGTCATTACATCAAACAATCTATTTCAGAGAGCTGGATGATGGATGCGAAAACGACCGACAGCCATTCTCAGGCTATCAAAACCCACGCCCAGAAATAATCCGAACCATAACCAACCCCTATGCTCGCACTCTTGAGGTACGTCTAATTCCCCATGGTAATCTAAATCGTGTTTTGTGTCGAGACTGCAAATGTGTAATATTCTGACATCTACCTAGAGTATCTGTAGCTACGGGAGCAGATCTATGCTTGTGGTGTTCACGAACATAGATTGGGTTATATATTTTTCATAATATTTCCACTGGTTATAACCTCTTTTAGTTTGTTCCTCATAGCCCCCACTATTTGTTTTTTCTAGTATCCCTTCATTTCCACTTTTTTTTCTCTATTTACAACCATAGACTGTAAATTCCTGTTGCTGGTACTGTATAATGAAATCCTCTTTATCTAATCACTCTTTTAAAATCTTTGTGTGGTTATCTTATCTCTTCTTGCTGTCAGCCAACATAGACGTCTTTAGTGTTTTCAGTCTATCGTTATAAATTACATTTTTTAACATTGATAACCATTTCTTCCTCTTTGGACCCTTTCCAACATAATTATTTTTTATGTGGGTACTGCACCACTGTTACATATTCCAGTTATGCTTAATATAGTACATGAACATTGTAATCATATGACCACATCCATAATAAATGGTTCTATTTTTAAATACTATAGTGGGGTTTCTTTCATTATATTTCTATGATAGTTTTGACGGGAGAAATGTGCCTAGCACGCTAACCATTCCTGGGGAAGGGCGCCTGATAATGTTCCAGTGATTTTTTTTTTAACACTTTGGCCGTCTCCTGTTGAGGCAGGCTGACCTGAAAGAGAAGAAGCACTTTCAAAATTTTCCTTTTTTACATTTAGTAATTTATACAGGAGAAGGGGTTATTAGCTCATTGCTCCCGGGATTTTAGTCACCTCTTACGACACATGGCTTAGGGAGGAAGGATTCTTCTCCACTTCCCCATGGAGTTTTAAGATGATATGGTAGATATTTTTTATCTTTCCCTACAAGAAAATAGTATAATTTACCGCAGACAAGATGCTCTGGTGTCAAGGACGTCCCCTCAGTCTGGCTAAATTTTGGAAAAGATACTTTGACCTCATAGATGCTGGGTAAATTTGAGACTTATTTTGGGGAAAAAATAGCATCTTCGATGCCATAAAATATGGTATTTGAAGTTTTTTATATTCTACTTTTTAAAACATGGTAATCTAATCTAATATTGCTAAAATTTACATAAGGGATGACTTAATTTACCTAATTTATTTAAGAATTTTCTTAGCTTTGCTAATAGATATCTTGGGTAAGGAAGGCCAGGTGTATATATTTTGAGCACCTGCCGCCAGTCAGTGCTGGAAACAGCACCTCCTGCTAAGAGATAGGTCTCCTGCCAAGAGATAGGTCTCCTGCCAAGAGATAGATAGGTCTCCTGCCAAGAGATAGGTCTCCTGCCAAGAGATAGGTCTCCTGCCAAGAGATAGATAGGTCTCCTGCCAAGAGATAGATAGGTCTCCTGCCAAGAGATAGGTCTCCTGCCAAGAGATAGATAGGTCTCCTGCCAAGAGATAGATAGGTCTCCTGCCAAGAGATAGATAGGTCTCCTGCCAAGAGATAGATAGGTCTCCTGCCAAGAGATAGATAGGTCTCCTGCCAAGAGAGTGATAATGAAAACGTTTCTTCTTTTATGGGTCACTCTGCCTCGATGGGAAACTGCCAACGTGTTAACAAAAAAATAATAAAATATGTTTTGGATGTTGCCACTGTACAGTATAATGCTCTAAATTATATATACAAAAAATTTATTATTCTAGGAGCTGAGCCACGTTGAAGTGCAAACCAACAAACTGGTCAGCGGTGGAGAGAGCGGCAGAGAGATGACCATGAGTGGTGACACTTGTGACACCAGCACTGAAACCAATATTCACAGTGCTCAGAATCCTTCATAGTAAAACAGATTTTATTGCCATGCATCTTTGTATGCTAAACCACCATCTCTTTGCACACTGTTGTAGTATTACAAGTGACATTATTACAGGCCCTTTCTGTTGCATACTGGCATCCTTTGAGAAAGTCACAAAATCGTGGCAGGAACAGTTCACAACTTATCCACAACATTGAGATGAAACTAGATCGACTGGGTCCATCCTGGACTGTTATCTTCATAAGGAGGGCCCTGCATATACAGCACCTTTTTGGTATTCCACGTTGTCGTTGGTTTCAAATTAAGCCGTTGTTCCACCCACCAATGAACATCACTGGCTGGTGGAATATAATGAGCAGTGGCTCAGTTTAAAGCCAACGAAAATATGGAACACCAAAAAGGTGCTGTATATGCAGGGCCCTCCTCTACTTGCGACTTAATAATGGTCCAGTATAAACCAAACTGTCTTCTAAAGGTTTATCTCTGCATGGGTGAATTGTGAATTTGTATTCTTCTCTTGGTGCTCACTAAGTACTCAGCCAACATGGATGTCTGACATTGTAAGCCTTGGAGGGTTGAGTGATGGGACCTGAATGTATATGGCTACACTAGCCACTTCAACTAGACATGAAGGAAATGTGTACAGTGGACCCCCGGTTAACGATATTTTTTCACTCCAGAAGTATGTTCAGGTGCCAGTACTGGTCGAATTTGTTCCCATAAGAAATATTGTGAAGTAGATTAGTCCATTTCAGACCCCCAAACATACACATACAAACGCACTTACATAAATATACTTACATAATTGGTCGCATTCGGAGGTAATCGTTATGCGGGGGTCCACTGTATTTACTTTTGTGTGAATGCTTCGAGTGGCCAAGTCTTCAAAATATGCCTGGTGGTTGATGTTGAATGTAACCTATACTCATCTCAAGATGCCTCTTATGTTGTCTTTTACATTACCAGAGTAATATATAATATTTAGCCTTGACCATGTATATGGTTTGCCTTGTATGTATGTGTATGTATGAATGTATGTATGCATATAATATATATGTATACATATATATTTTTCATCAAACCAGCCCATATCCCACTGAGGCAGGGTGACCTAAAAAGAAAAATGAAAATTTTTCTTTTTAAATTTAATAATTTATTCAGGAGAAGGGGTTACTTGCTCCTGGCATTTTAGTCGACTCTTACGACACGCATGGCTTACATAGGAGGAATTCTGCTCCATTTCCCCATAGATATGGCTAGTTTGTTGAAAAAAAATGTATATATATATTATATACATACAGTTTGTCATGAAAGGTGCTTGTATGCACACATGCCCTCCATAATACAGGCATAAGTCACACACAGCTATCTCAGATGTCCCGGGTGCCCACATTTACTCAGTTTATTCCAAGATTCATCCTAGGAGATAACACTCACCACTTTAGATTTACCCATGAGTGTACTTGCAAATGTCACAACCGTCCATGTGGTACTTACATAATCCAGTCTGTAAGTGAAATCCAAAGAATAACATCATTAAGTGATGTAGCTTTTTTCATACTTGTTTCTTCCAAGTAAAGGTGCACGGTTTATTTTCATAGATGTATTCCCATTTATTTTCATGCTGTGCTAGGATACAGTCAAGCATCAAAAGTTCAGACTGATATATCAGGAATTTAGAAAGCTTGTTTTGGTTCTCTGACATTGATATGGTGGCGTTTACTTTGTACTGTACTGTTTTGTCTTGAAAATTATCGCTGGAAATTTTCCCTTAGCTGTTTGACAAGTGGTTAGGCAGGATGATCACAAGTTGAGAACATCTCAGGCCCAGATCGATCTGAACTTTTGGTGCCTGACTGTACTGTATTACTGTACATTCCCAGCTTAACAGTTTCCCTTGTGTAAAGGGTCTGGCAGGCAGGTAGCTACCTATTCCAGACAATTCCATTTAGGTCCGTTCCAGTGCCGTTGACTTCTTATTTAATGGTTGATACTCAAACTATTATACCTTGTGCAACATGATTTCGAACCACGTAACGGGTGGGGGTTTGAAGCAGTGGTGAGCTAGTTGTAAAATTCTAGACCAGTGCATAAACCACAATAAGACTGGTCCAACTAGATGGATAAATCTTCTTGTAGTCAGCTGGCCCAGTGGCTTACTGGTCGGGAGTTTTACAACTCTCTTACCATGGGTTCAGATCCCACCTGTTCTGTGGTTTGTTTTCAATCGCATTATTAAGATTTCATCAATCATCATTTCAGTGCTGATTGCATCATTTTTTTTGACACTATGTACCAAGATCTGCAATAATTGGCCAGTGAACATTAATGTAAGAGTTGATGGCACCCATTTATGGTCCCTAGTGCTGGCTTTTCTGTTCTCACTACAGGTTGTTTCAGGTACCTTTCAGGTCCATTCAAAATTGTTGATTTTATTGTTCTTTCTTGGTTGCATGTACAGCCAGCATATCTTAGGCCCAGAACTCTATTGATACCCCTTCAACACAAGGCATTGTCAAAGGTTTTATTATTAATTATTAATTATTATTATATGTTTAGCACTGCCAGCCTGCAAGCATGTTACATCATTGCTTTGCACTATCCTGGTACAGGATAGATAATTTTGTACATAATGTAAAGAAGCAAAATAAAACTGATAGATAAAGTTACCAGTGATACTGATGCAAGCCAGTAAGAAGTATAAGATGTGTACTTTTGGCTTTGTGATTAGATAGCAAAGTGCCGCCCTAACCTACTGTCCTCGTATTTTTTTTTCATTGTGGTGGCCTCTGGTAGCCTTGTCTGGAGGGGCTATATACTGCTTAGCTTGTAACATTTGTACATAAAACTAGAAAATTATTAGCTTACTGCTGATGAGCTTTTTTGTGTAAGATTTCTCTATTTGTAATGTTTTGATTATTCATGATATAGTATTGATTATTTCAAAAACAATAAGATTAAGGTGATAATTCACAACGTGTATGAGTGGCTTTGAGTACTGCTACTGCAATATACCTCGCAGGTTGTTCTGGGTATAAAGGTTATATTTTACTAATTATTTCTCTGCTTTGTCGAGGAAATACTTTTCTGTAATTGTATATTTTTCTCTTAAAACAAGTGCAACTCATGTTCAGTGCTTGTAACCTGTTTTGCTCTTTTTTTTTTTTTTATTAATCTAGGGTGTACAAGGGATGAGTTTTTGAGGCTGTTTTCTTTTATGCTCGGAGCAATTTTATTAGTAGCAGTGCTTAAAGTGACTTGCGGTCTACTTGTCGCACTCACAGGAACTCAATATCAATATTTCCAACTGTTGGTAACTGTAGTGTGTTTATGGGCAAAACACACCACTTGTTATGGTTCCTATGATGTATGTGTAACTGGTTCATTTTTAGGTCGCGTCCTATGGCAGCTTATGCTCGGCAAGTCACAAAGGTCATTTATATAGGAAAGTTGTTCCAATGAGGAATATTGTTCGTTTCCTGTAGCATATCCAGTGTTTACCTGCTTGTCATTTAATGTAAAACAAGTCTGTAAGCTTAAAATATTATCTTGCCTTTTACCCTGGTCATAGATTTTTAATGGCTTCCATATTAATCCTAGAAGAATAGTGTTTATCATCCATGTATCAAAAGATTATTGTGTACACTGCATCCATAAAATGTAACTTTTGAGCAGTGTCATACTCAAATGTCAGTCCCAGTAAGCACCCCTGCATAATTTGCATCAGTAGAGCTTATGTTTGTAGCAAACTAGATATAGTAATTTATAGTAAAAAGACTGAGCCACAAAATAGTGATAATATTGAGTAAATGCATAAGCCATGTTGAAGGGAAAGGGGCCTCTGGTGTTCGTCTAGCCTCACTACCTCTGATATGCCTTGCTAGTCCACAAACTGCAGCTTTAACATCATGTATAGATACTCAGTTAGGCAAAAACATGCAGCAGGTGCACTCTAGCTGTCAAAGTACCAAATTTGTCATTTGTTCTTAGGGCAGGGAAACACTATGGAAGCTGTAATGCAATTTGAATCATATTTTTAGATAAAGGTTAATATATTCTTTAATGCTTCCTTATGTATACTTTAAACCCAAAGTTTTATGTGCTGGAAATCTCTAAAACCTTAATATTTTGAAGTTAATAGCCATTTTTTTTTCAATCCTATTATTGATATACTGTAGTATTTATTATTTTTTTTTTTTTTTTTTTTTTTTTTGAAAATCCAACATGGATTTTGACCAATAATATAATGTGCTTGTGGCACATGATTTGAAAGATTAAGATAAAAGGTTGTATCTCTTCACCTGTACTACTTAAGCCATTTTAGATAAGTACTGTGCTCAGTTCCCACAGTATTTTAGATTACTGTTTGTGTCAGTGTATGTCCAGTGTTATAAGAATTCCCACCTGTAGAAACAAGATCATATATCACTACAGTTTGTCTAATAAATGTATAGCATTTCATGCAGAAAAACAAGTAATGTCCCCAGTGTTGGAAAACTAGTAGCAGAGGTGGACTTCTTGTCTTCTTTATAACTAAAGAATTCCACCAAAAGCACACTAGAACCTTAAACACAGGGGGGAGTCCGATGAAAAAAACTTCATACCTTTGTTCAGAAATGTGAATATTATTTCAGTCAACTGAAACTCACTTGCTCTTAACCTCCTTAATTTACAAATTGACTTGTAGCTCAGAGGTCAGAGCATTTGGCACACAACTGACAGGTTATTAGTCAAGTTCTCTGAGAAACACAAGACGTAAAGGCAAGTTTCGTTATACAGCCTCGCAAAAAAATACCTGGATAAAATTCAGGTTTTATGGGTTGCATCCTAGGGAAAAAATCAGAGGCAAACAATAATAAGAAGACTGAGTACCATGAGCATTGCTCTGTTTATGTAACTACAAAAAGTCATGAAATGACCGAGCACATCTTACTTTTGTTTGACTCCCCCTTTTAATAAATGTCTGTGCTTGCTTCTATATACCACCAATAGACTGCTCAGTTGCACTTACGAGTAATGTTACCAATACTTAATACATTGGTAACGAGTAATTTATATCGAACCACTGAAGTCAATGTTGATAGAGTAATCTATCTAGTAAGTGAAGTAATGTATAACAATGGCCTTAGAGTAACACCCTTAGTGTCTTACAAGTAACCTTGTACGTTTCTTTTGTTTATGGTAAATAACAAAAAAACCTGTGTTTTCAGATCAAAAATATTTAATTCCAGTTGGTTGCAGCTCGACTAATCAAAGGGACTTGGAAATGAATGAAAGCAGCGGATTATCTGTACAGGAAGATGATACAATATTGTTATCCAGTGTATTTTATTTTATCAAGTTACTGTCCATAGATGAAATAAAGAATTTGTTACACTTAAGGATTTTATTGTGCCAACTTCAAATTTTTTTTTCTTTTTTATATCTAAAGTCAAGTGCACAGTATCTAAAACGAACTTTCATTGTATTTACTTGGTGTCCTGGGTATTTCCTGCTTTGTACTTCATCTGCATGGTTCCCCAGTCCTGATCTACCAGACTTTAAAAAAAAAAAAAAAAAAAAAAAAAAAAAATTTTGGCCTCCACTTTGTAGACTATAATGGAAATTACACCTCTTCAAGGGGGGCTCCTTGGCATGGTGAAGAGGCTCTTGGTCTGAGGAATTAGACCTGTCAGTCTCTCCTTCCTCATACCAAACCTAATCCTCCCCTTTTATCCCCCCTAATCCCCCCATTTCCCTATCCCATCCTCCCCTTTTTCCTTTCCTCCTCCTCCCCATCCTCCCCTTTTTCCTTTCCTCCTCCCCACCCCTCCCTTTTGCTCTTCCTTTTTGGCCTTTCCCCCCCCCCACAGGCACACTAGTTCCTAGGTAGGGGAAAGGGTACCGGGGTCCATCCCATTCTGTTGAGGTTCTTGGCGGTGGCGTAGTTTGCCGTGGAATCTGGATTGCCTGGGGATGTCCCGATCCCTCTCCGGTATCCCGGAGGGTGGCTTTGGGTGTCTCTCGGGCGACGGGTGTATCTCTGGAAGCCACCTTTCGGATTCCGGGGGTGGTGGCTGAAGGAGGTATGCTTTGTGGCGGATTTCTGGCCGCCCTCTTTTTTGTCCACCGAGGTAGCTCGGCAGATGTGAGGTTGCTATCCCGGATTGCCGGTTTACTGGCATGATGGGTAGGGTATGGCACGGGTTCCATGCTGCATCTGCGCTACTTGCGGTGCTGAGGTCCTCTTGGGCACGGAGGGAGATTTCTGGCCCTTTCATTCCTCCTAGGAACTATCCCTCCCCAGTCCCCCCTTTTTTTCTTTTTTTTATTTTTATTTTCTTTTTTCTTTCTTTTTTTTTCTTAAAAACAAAAAGAAAGAAGTAACCTAACCATGGCAGCCCTAGTCCATGAACCTGCTACCCCCGGGCCCCTTCTTGATACCGCACCCCGTTCTGACCCCGCCTCGTCTTTGGACCACTCTTCGGACACTCCTCATGCCTCTGTACCTCTTGCCGGTGCTGTTTCCTCACCCGCTTCAGGTACTGAGGCCTCGACTGACTCCTTCGATTTATCTGACCTTCGCTCTCCTCTGACTATGCTTCCGGCCTCTCCCTCTACGGTGCGGCAATTTTCGAATCGCCGACCCGTTCCACGTCGGACCAACTCTGATCCCACGCCTAAACGCCAACGACAATTACCTGCTGATGATACTTCTCCACCTTCTCGTTCTTCTCAGAAAAGATTGACATGTCCTTCACTACCTTTCCACACTCAGTTTCAGACTACACAATGGAATAAATTCTTCACTTTACGACCGACTTCCTCTACTGCCTATCTTTCTGACCACAGTATTGGCAAGGCACTCATACGCCATGTTGATAAAGATATTTCTTTTCATGCTCTTAAGAGCGGTACGTGCATCACCGTACAGAATGCTACTCAGGCTCATGAGCTTTCTCGTCTTTCCCATATCGATACTGTTCCTGTCACTATTGAAAAACATCATTCCCTCAATTCTTGTAGTGGTACCGTCATTCTGCCCCCATACCATAGTTCAACAAAATTTCCAGACATGTGGCACTGACATTCTTGAACAGCTGGAACTCCAAGATCTCCCAATCCTCAAGGTAAACACTTACGTTCTTCCTGCCCGCGGGCGGAGACAATACCCTAGCAATGTGGCTCGTTTAACTTTTGACAGCCGTGAACTCCCATCCTCAGTTTATGTAGCAGGACATCGGTTACAAGTTCGAAAGGTGATCCCTACACCGCAACAGTGTAGAAATTGCTGGCGATTTGGCCATCCAGCGAAATATTGCAGATCTATCGCCGAATGCCCAGTCTGTGGTGCCGATGACCATTCTAATACGTCTTGCAATCGACCTCCCTCTTGCCTTAATTGTCATGAGGCTTGCCCTTCGTACTCTCGCCGTTGTCAAGTCTACTTAAACGAGCGGGAAATCCGTTACCTCAAAGAGGCAGAAGGTCTCCCTTATGCCATGGCAGTTTCTCATCTCCGCCTTCAAGGGAGACTACCTCGTGTTTCTTATTCCCGTGTTTCAAAACGTCCCCCCACTTCTGGTATCCCATCTTCTGCACCCACCTCTGTGGTTACCTCTCCCATAGTCACTCCTGTATCTAATTCTTTTGCTGTCCTCGGCTCAGACGTCCCTACTTCAGAGCCTCAGTCTGATCTCGCTTCTTCGTGTTCTCTCTCACAAGCCTCAGTAGAACATAAGAACATAAGAAAGGAGGAACACTGCAGCAGGCCTGTTGGCCCATACTAGGCAGGTCCTTTACAATTCATCCCACTAACAAACATTTGACCAACCCAATTTTCAATGCCAGTAGCGACAAGATCTCGTATGACACCTCCTCCCAATCGTCCCTCTACTTCTCAAAAGTCAAGAAAAGGTCCGTTAACACCTCCTACCCATCTTCCACCTCCTCATTTTACCTTCCCTGTCTCTGTACCTGGTTCTCCCCCTCTCACTGGCTCTGTTACAAGTGTAGAGGTTCACCCTCCTCCTCGTACTGTACCTTAATCCCCTGTTCCCTCCCAAGTTTCTTCCTCTTCTGCCACCTCCCAGGTTTCTGCCTCTTCTGTCCCCTTCCACGCTTCTCCAGTTCCCTCCACCCTTTCGCCCCCCTCCCTACCTTGGTAGAATCCAATACAGTTCGAATCTTTATTCATCCTCCCCCTACCATTTCCAATATTGTCTCCCATACGATGTCTCTGAATTCCGAAACACTTGAAGCAATCTCTGAATATATTGCAGAGACCAAACCATCAATGGACACTGATCCACCCTCCGCTCCTTCTCTCTCCTCTTCTCCATCTGCGCAACTCCTTTCTTCACAGCACACCGTTCCTTCACTGCTTGAACGTTTTCCACTGCCTCCGCATGTGGACTTTTCTAACCCTTCTAGTCCATAGGAACCCTTACCTGCGGATTTCAGGTATCTTCATCATTGCCAGTCATGGCCTATTTACAGTGGAATATACGCGGCCTCAGGGGTAGTCGGGGTGAGCTTCAGATGTTACTCTCCCAGTTTTCCCCTGTTGGTGTTTGCTTACAGGAACCAAAATTACACTCTGCTGTTATCTCTCCCATCTCAGGCTATAATTTATTGTATTCTTCAGATCCTTTTCCTGATGGGACCTTTAATGAAAGTGCCCTTCTTCTACGCACTGATATTCCGTACCATCAGCTATTTGTTTGTACTTCGCTGCATTACACAGCAGCCCATATCCACTTGCATAGGTGGTATACACTCTGTTCTCTATATCTCTCTCCTTCTCGGGCATTATCTATTCTGGATATTGCCTTTCTTGTTTTGTCATTACCGACACCGATTCTGTTACTTGGTGATTTTAATGCCCACCATTTCCTCTGGGGGGGGTCTCACTGTGATTCCCGTGGCATTCAGTTAGAGGTTTTTCTTGCCACCCACCCCCTCCATGTTTTAAATACAGGTACTCGCACCCATTTTGATCCTCGGACTCACACTCTCTCTTGCATCGATCTCTCAGTCTGCTCTTCCTCCACCGCATTTAGACTTCACTTGGTCTGTTCTCCCACTTAATGACAGCGATCATTTCCCAATCATTCTTACTTCCCCTTCATATTCACCACCTCTTCGCATCCCATGCTGGCAATTTGATCAGGCAAATTGGAACCTTTACTCACACCTAACTGTTTTTAGAGAGGTTCCTTCTTTGTCCTCCATCGATGAGCTTTTACACCTCTTCTCGTCCTCCGTTTTAACCGCAGCTTCTCATTCTATACCCCAAACTTCGGGCAGGCATTCTCAGAAATGCGTGCCTTGGTGGTCTCCTGCTTGTGCTCGTGCAGTACGTTTGAAATGCGCTGCATGGGGCAGGTACCGGTACAATAGAACCACAGAGAGACTTATTGATTTTATGCAGAAGGGTGCGATCGCTCGCCATGTCATCCGTGACACTAAACGCACTTGCTGGCGAGATTATGTCTCCACCGTCACCTTTGCTTCCTCTATGAGTGCAGTCTGGAAAAAAGTACGAAAACTGAGTGGTAAATTCTCCCTGACCCGGCTCCTGTTCCTGGGGTTGCCGGTGTTGAAATAGCAAACCCACTAGATGTTGCCAATGAAATTGGCAATCATCTGGTCTGTATTTCTCAGGGACTCCATCTATGCCCCTCATTTCTTTCCTCAAAGTCTGCCAGAGAGTTAGCACCCTTGGACTTTTCTTCTCTCAGAGAAGAACAGTATAATGTGCCTTTTACACTTCAAGAACTGGAGGCAACACTCTCAGCTTGCCATCATCGGCAGCTGGGCCCGACGACATTCATATTCGTATGTTACAACATTTACATCAGTCAGCCCTTGCAGTCCTATTATGCCTTTACAATCTTATTTGGTCACAAGGAGTTCTTCCACAGCTTTGGAAATCCGCCATTGTTCTCCCTTTCCGCAAACCAGGCACTACGGGACATGAAACCTCCCACTATCATCCCATTGCTTTTACCAGTGCAGTTTGCAAAGTGATGGAACACCTAGTAAATAGACGTTTAGTGTGGTATTTAGAGACACACAACAGTCTCTCCACTTGTCAATATGGCTTTCGTAAGGGACGTTCTACCATAGACCCCTTACTACGCTTGGATACGTATGTTCGTAATGCCTTTGCGAATAACCACTCGGTTATTGCCATATTTTTTGACCTTGAGAAGGCACATGACACAACTTGGAGGTATAATATTTTAGCCCAAGCCCACTCCTTAGGCCTTCGAGGCAATCTACCATCCTTCCTTAAGAACTTTTTAACTGACAGGCATTTCCGTGTTCGGGTTAATAATGTGCTCTCCCCCGGACTTTATTCAAGCTGAAGGTGTCCCCCAGGGATGTGTTCT